TCTCTCTCAAAAATAAATAAACATGAAAAAAATTTTTAAAAAATTAAGTGAATGCCTTCATGCACTACTTTGCAAGCTTTAAAACTCAGAGGAAGGCTCTCAGGGTTCAGTACTGTTACAGTTCTGTCTCCATCCTGCCTTTGTTCTTGTCTTGGAAGTCCACATAGTTGGCCCTCCCTCTTCAGGTTAACCTAGCTCCCTGCCAGCATCACCCAGTAAGCATGAAGGAACATGGACAGCTTCAAAATAGTCAGAGACCCAAGGTGAACTATTTTATTCTTTATTGTTTTCTTAATTTCTCAACTGTCTTTCTTCTTGTTTATAATCAACAAAGCCACCTCTGAAGACAAGAAGTCCTAAAGGAATGCATTGGCAGAACTGGTTCCTTCGGGATGCTCTAAGGGAGGATGTGGTTCAAGAGTCCCTTGGCTGCTGGAAATCCTTGGCATTCCTTGGCTTGTAGAGACATCACTCTAAGCTCTGCCTCTTCACATGGCCATTTACCCTCTCCATCTTTCTAAGCTTTCTTAAAGCTTATCCTTACAGAATTCAAACCAATTAAAAGTCAGCAACCTGAGGTGCAATGAAGCGTGGGATATGGTGCTTCAGGAATTAATGCATTTGTACTTATGGCAGAATGTACTTGTACTTGATTGCAGAATGATGCCCTCCCCAAAGCTGTCTACAGCTGAGCCTCCAAATCTGAGAATATGTTACCTTCCATGGTGAAAGGGACGTTACAGATGCAATGAAGTTAGGGATCTTGAGATGGGGAGCTATCCTGGAGTATCCAGGTTGGCCCCATGAGACCATAAGAGTCCTTGTAAGTCAAAGATAGAGGCAAGAAGTCAGAGGAGGTGTGACAACAGAAACAGAAGTCAGAAGGATGTGACAGCTGGAAGGGGCCACAAGCCAAGGAATGCATGTAGCCTTTAAAACTGGAAAATGCAGGTAACAAGTCTCTCCCCTATAGATTCCAGAGAGAATGAGGCACTGACAACACCTTGGCTTGAGTCCAGTGAAACCTATTTTGGACTTACAACCTCCAAAACCGTAAGAGAATAAATCTGTGCTGTTTTTAAGCCAATACATTTCTGGTAATTGGCCACAGCAGCCACAGGAAACTAATGCAGTACCATGGACCCTTTAGAAGAAGAAATTACTCAAGGTGGTGCCGCCTTATGCATATTTAAGAGAATTGCTTCCGGCCTGGCTGGTTGACCATATGGCAAGGGTCCATGGGTGACCTGTGTACTCTTGGTGCTACCAGCACTTGGAATGCAATCAGTGGGAGCCAGAGGGAGCAGAGGCCGTTGCATCAAACTAGCAGGGTTCCTCTTGCCAGATTCATAGTTCAGGTGACTCCCGGTGTGGGACGGCATGTGCCACCTTGGCTGCGTCTTGTCTTGGCACTGGCTTCTCTCACAGGCTTCATGACGCCTGTCTTGGTGCACAAGATGAAAGGGAACCCCACGGTAATAGATTCCTCTTAAATCACAAAGGATCTTTGTTAAACCATCAAGTCCCCTCACGACCTGCAGCCTATCCCTGAACCCCAACCTCCTAGTATTGTCCAAATCAGAGAGTGTCTTGCCACCCAGTCTAAGCTGTGGTTTTTTTCTCACTGGGATACTAAGGCAACAATCTGCTGGCATATACTCTGATGCTATTCTTTCTTCCCCACGGTAAGTTCTCCACACAGCAGCCACCACCCTTTGAACAACACAGGTCATAGCATCTCACTCTCTGGACATAAACTTTCTGATAGCTCATCATGACACAAGGAATATAATCCAAGGACTTCACCACGGCCAAGGTGTCTTCACCATCTGGCTCTCTTGTCTCATCTACCACTTCTCCTCTTGGTGAACCTCAACACACTGTTCCTGCCTTTGAGATTCTGCCCCATTGTAGCAGTCAGCACTTCACAGGCTAGATCTGGAGGGCTGACTTTGTAGGAGCTGTCTGGAAATGCCAACACCTCGACACCTGGAGGCCTGGGGTCCTGTGGGAGAAGCGGGTACGTCTGGTGGAGGCGTACCTCAGGGCAGCCCCACTGAGGGGACCATCCTACCCTGAGGCCGGCTGGTTCACCAGAAGGCAGCCCACAAGGCAAGAGATTCACCCACGTTGTGGCAGGCATCACTGCTGTCTTTTATTATTGAGCAGTATTCCACAATATGGAAGGATGGTTTGCTTATCCATATTCACCCACTGAGGGACATCGGTGCTGTTGCCAGGTTTTCGTGATTATGAGCAAAGCTGTTACAAATCTTCAGGTACAGATTCTTGTGTGAGCATGAGCTTTCATTTCCCTAAGGCAAACAACTCAGAGCTGGGTTGCTGATTGACATGGTGAATATACATTGAACTTCATGTAAAACTTCCCAACTATTTTCCAGAATAGCCATACCACCTTCCACCCTCACCAGCAGTGTACAAGGGCTCAGGTGCTCTGCATCTTTGCTGGAAGATCTGTTGACATATTCTATTATTTAGCCGTTTTATTAAATGTGTGCCGGTACCTCACTGTGGCTGCAAATTATATTTCTCTAATGATATTGAGCATCTTTTCACCTTCGTATCTTTGGTAGAGTGTTCAAATAATGCTTATGGGATGCACCTGGGTGGTTCAGTCAGTTAAGCACATGACTCTTGGTTTTGGCTCAGGTCATGATCTCATGGGTTCATGATATCGAGCCAAGTGTCAGGCTATGCACTGACAGCTTGGAGCTTGCTTGGGGGCTTCTCTCCATCTCTCTGCCCCTCTTCAACTTGTGCGCACTCTCTTTCAAAATAAATACATAAACGATTGTTTTGAAAATGCCTTTGGCTATTTTTTTGTTTGGGTTGTTTCTTATTTTTGAGATTTGAGAGTTCTTTATAAAGTTTCGATTCTTTTACCAGGTGATACATGGAAATGTTTTATATTGGGTTCCTTATAATGTTCTTCACAGAGTATAAATTTTTACATTTGATGAAGTGTCATTTATCTCTTTTCCTTTTACACATCATGCTTCTCATGTTGCATCTGAGAACTCTCCACCTAAATCTGGGTCATGAAGATTTTTATCCTGATTCTAAACTACACATGTGTATACATAAATAATCAATTTGTCTCTATTTTCAAAGAATTATTCTGAGATTTTATTGGGAATGTGTTGAATCTGTAAACTGTTTTGGGGAAGAACGACATTTTAACTACACTGAGTCTTCCAATCCATGAACATAGTATGTCTCTCCCTTTGTTAGTTCATAGATTGTTTTAAACCCGTGTTTTATAGTTTTCAGCATACAGACCCTGCAGATATTTTTATGTTAGATTACACTTAAGTATTTCAATGTTGACCCTGTATGATTACATCTTTGTATCCTGGTAATATGTTCTAAGAGTTTTTTTTGTAGATTTCTTGGGATTGTCTACATGGACAATCACGGTGTCTACAAACAGACACAGTGCCATTTCTTCCACTCTAATCTAAATGTATTTTATTTGATTTTCTTACCTGATTGCACTTGTACTTCATTCATTCACTCATGTGACCAAGTGGCCCAGTTCTGCCTGAGCACTGGAAGTTCACCAAATAACACATTCGACTTCTTGCCTTTCTAACGTGTAGTGGTTAATCCCACATATAGTAACCATATGTTAAATTTGCATCTGGCTCTGTTTCTATGCATTATTAGGGGGAGAATATTGGCAGTACATTGAGCATAAACATGGAGGCAGCTAGGGAGTTGGTCTTTACGCATGGCAACAGTAAATGCTGATTCTCATGTCTGACTTCTCTGCTCAGAGTCCCAGAAGAATAGGTCGGGTACAGAATCAGGCACAGATGTATATCCTCATAAATGATAAAGAACATTTTTTCCTCTGAGACATGAGGGAAGGAAGAGCTAACTGATAAAGATACAGAAACATTGTGAATTGACGAAAAGAAGGCAGGGTATTCATTCATGGAAGCTGGAGTTATAAATGATATTTCTTACAAATAAATGTGGATCAGTACAAACACATAATGAAGTATGGTAGTCACCAACTGTCACCAATGAAAATAGTACTTTTGTGTTGGGGGGATAGAATTTCAAACTTTTCCACTTCATGACTTTAAGCGCTAATGTCACAAATGTCTTGGACCAGAAAGCTGCAGGGTTAAGTCATGATCCCGGAAAAAGACCAGAGCTGTTCTTAAAAATCCATCTGTAGCTTGATTGTGTATTATAATTCTACCGGTTTAAATTAACACAGAATTAATATAATACATTGTTAGGGGGAAGAGGAAGGAGGGTGGATATGTAGCAGATGCAATATAGTAGTAACACAAGTCACAAATGACTGTACTCTCATCAGACGTCAGTGCTTTGGAGTGACCATAGGTTGAGGACCAAAGTAAAAATAGAAAGAGTAACAAACAATCTCAATTTCTATGAATAAAGAAAACAATGATTAAAAAAACAATCTACCTTTAATGCACAGAAATAAGGGCAAGTAATGTTACAGATAGATATGCGTAAGATAAAACATATCCAAATGGGATTAAATGAACATGTTTCATCCTAAGTAAATCCATCTGTAAAAACAATCACTGAATTCTTTTGGCTTTTTAAACCATCACTAACATAGGTCACATTATTTCTTGGTCAAACACAGAAGAAAGTTCATTTGACTGTGAGAACACGCATTTTGTGTTTTCATTCCAAGCCTGTTCTAATCTTATTTCTGCCAGTGGCTGAGGTCTGTATCCGGACGGCCACTCTTCTGCTCTCGGTCCACACGCCTGCTGCCGGGCAATCAGCAGTGGCTGAAGGTGGAGACCCAAAGGGAGAGGGGGTTCAAGGACACAACAGGAACACGGTGTCTACTGCTCATAGGAAAGTGTGCAAATTAGCCAAGTGCAAATCTAGTGATCTAGTGTCACCGTCTTGGGGAGATTGCGTCTATCAAAACACCTTCTGTTGTAACATATGTACGTCCAACATTTGCTCACACAAATTCTTACCCACTCATAAGAGAGAACCCAGCAGCCACGGGCAATTCCCAGCAGCACATTCAGAGTGCGCAGAGGCTTGCCGGCGAGCACATGGGTAGTAGTTTCACACACTTCCTGGGCAAGTGAAAAGCCCTTCAATGTGTTCACAACCTGGATGACGATGTTCTGTGTTCTGTTAAACAGGAGGGGAAAAAAAAAAATCAACAAAATGACTAAGTTTCCTACATATGAACAATAAGGTGGTAAGACTGAATCGTAATTTCTAAGAACTAGAAAGCTAAAGTTCTACACTGATCTCAGCCATGGAACTCCTGTGTTAATTTCTTTATGGTCAATGACTTAACATTTGGGGAAATTCAAAAACTTCAGCTCTCAACTACAACTATCTATTTGAATAGCTGAGAAAATGGCCCCAAGATAGAAGTAGCTCCCCACCCACCCCCGCGCCCGACGCCAGGGAAGCTGCCAGCATCACTAACCAGCCTCTGCTTTTCCTACCACACCACACTTCCTTTTTGGACAGATGTGAACCAATCCACGCACGGTCAGGACTGAACGTATCACCTGCTGGTTTTATTTGATATTTAACATTTGTCTGAATTCACACATACAGTTTTGTTTTTTGTTTTTTGTTTTTTTTTTGTCTAAGTATGAGGGAGAAAAGGGCCCTTCTTATTACATTATCAGATCAAATCTTAGGGCAAATTTGGCAGAGTCTCCTTATTGTTTCAGAGCCCATCATTGTTTGTCTTCTGGTCTGTCATTCCACGAGTGCCTCAAGCACCTTTAGAAAAATACATATTCTTCCCCTCTAATTTCCTCACCAAACTGCTCACCATTCTCCCTGTCTTTCCTTTATGACCACCTTTCTAAGGCCTTTGCTTGTGACACATTGCACTCCCCTATCCCTCCCAGCAAGTTTTGGAAATCCCCAGTGAAATACAAAGGACACGAAGGGCATTCGGAGCCACACCATGACGTACACAGTGAGTTAAGAGATAAATTTCTCTCGTCTCCAAAAATTGTTATGAAGGAAAAGAGGCTGCTGTTGCACATGCTTGCACAGACCGCCTCTAACAGCACCCTGTCTACTCCAAGGTGCCTCTGAGTTTCTCTCTAGTCATCTCGAGGACGTCAATGCGCAAGACCCATTTCTTTACATGTGAAACGAAAGGGCTGAACCGTAGCACAGTTTAAATTCTCAGAGATCCCTAGGGCAAAAAACATGAATGGGTCAAGGCCCAGGCCCTATCACCACTTCAACCAGAGAATCTGTGCTTACTGGGACAAAGAAAACAAAAGCAATAAAGAAGTGAAACGGTCTAAATGATATGCTCCCCAGAACCCATCATTTCTGCATATTGATGATATTCCTTATTCCGAGTCTGGTAGCTGCCAGCTCTTTGCTGGATGTGTTAATCAACAACAAGTGTCTCTTCGAGACACAGCTAATCAGTGTGGAATAAGAACGTCTAGGTTTTGCTCTTAGCTTCACACCGAAGTATATGTGGGGGGTGGGGGGGAATAAAAAGAGAATATGGCCTGAATGAAAACTTTCATTTTCAAAACTTTGATTGAGAAAATGATTATTTACTAGTATGTTTTATCCTGGAGCAAAACTACAGACTTTTAAAAATACTACACCTACCATTCTCAATTTTCACTCCCGTATTAGACTATGTAGAATGTTCAGTATACTTCATAAGAGATTAGCCAACATTGTTGACTGTGCTCTTTTTCCAGTAGCTAATGTACGGTGTTTGAACAATCAGTCCTTTTAATTTCACATGCCATGGGTAGGAAAAGGATCCTGCAACAGAAAGTATTGCAAGCATGCACTTTTTTGCAGGCAACTTTTCATTGAAATGTCCCAATATTTTGATGAATGTCTTCAAACCTTAAAACCTATGACTGATAAAAAAAACAAAAACAAAACAAAACCTATGGTTTTCCCCTTTAGACAGGAATTCAAAAATCTGCTACAAAGAATATGGTGCTATATTTTTGTTGGATGTGCTATATGCTGTGTTACATGTTTAAGGAAGACGATAAGAGCGTGCCAACAAGCTATTAACTCTTTTCACAAAATGTGCAGATAGCGGCTTTAATACAGTGGTAGAGAGCTTCCCACCAAAGTGTTTCTTTAAGAACTGTGAGGGAGTCAGCGAGCGATGCTCCATTTACTGAACTTTCATGGGGTAAAAGTCGTGGACACACAGAGCCCGTAGATATGAAGCAAGCAACAAGAAAAGCAAAATACTGTAATACCTCTTAATGCTATCTAAACAACTCCAAAAGTCTTCACTGCTAAACTGTTCATAGTCTCTTATTTCCAGGGTTCTTCTTAGGCCAATATCAATTATATAGAGTAAAAGCAACATAGTGCAACGCTACGAGCTGTGTTACAAGCACAGCATCACAGAATACGAAAGAAAAATCCAAAATTTTACATTGAGGAGAAAGTTATCAAAACAAGGAGTACTTACTCAGATGGCATGCTTGTCATGACTAATGTTCTTGTTGGCTAGAGATTTCAAAAGAGAAGGAACAAAAAACAGTCAGAAATGTAAAAAACATTTTTTCCCACAGAAATTAACTTTAATACATTTTTTGAAAAGTTACATCACTTAAAAATAAACATTTAAGCATATATCAAAAGAAAAAAACTTTATATTCCTGGAAAAAAAAAAAAAAAACAGCACAAGAGATAGAAAGTCAGTTACTTATCCCCAAATCAATCCAAAATAATCCAGGGCATGAGGTAGAAAAGGAGAGGGGGAAAAAGGCTTCCCTCCAGAGGTCCATTCTACTAGTTAGCTGGCAGACCACCAAAGATGCCATCCTGCTTAGAGACGTGCAAGGAGGGTGAGAGTAAGAAAGGCATTTTTTACAGGTCGAAGAGCCATTTTTCCTTGCCTAGGTGGTGCACACACAGTAACACTTATGTTCCTGTTGCGCTGGTCAATCAAATGCTTTAACCTCTTGCACAGAGAAGCTCAGATAAAAAGGCATGGCTTATTTATGGGTCAGCATCTGCTATTAAGTGGAAGTGTAAAGTTTTTTTTTTAATGAGTTTTTAAATACTTTTTTTATTTACATAAGAAAAGCATGCTGACAGCAAAATATATACATATTCAACGCTTTGGAAATATATCGTTAGAAACATAAATTCCCCAGTAATTCCACCAGTGAGAAAAATGACTATTGTTTAATAATTGGGTATATATTCTGCCAAATGTTCTTTCCGTGGGAAGGTGTGTATATATAATTGTTCAAAAAAACCAAAAATGAACTCACATTATTTATACATTTTTGTAACTGATGTATTTCAAACGCAACCCACTATGTATTGTAACCATGAACTGACCATTGTACACGTACTGTGTCTTGAGGGACCAGGCGAATAAACGAGGAGAAAGAACAAGAGGCATTCAGAGGACCCCATGTGGACACACACCGTGGAGTCAAAGGGGCCTGTACTGTGTGGGTATATCTGGGGAAGGTGGAGGAAGGAGAATGAAGACATAACCCGGATCACAAAGATACTCGATGGAGAACTCAGAGATGTGGCAGACGTGCTAACTCAGAGATGACTGCAATCTCTTTTCAGTTACCCTTGCAGAATAGTCTATTGTAACTCTCATCTGTTTGGGATACAAAGGGAACCACTGTAGCACAACTTTGTGGGCTGAGTCTGGAGACTCAGAAGCCTCTGTGTGGGTGTCTCTGATCACCAAGGGAGATTCTGGCTGAAACCTAATCACGATCTTCAGTGTTATCCTTGAATGAAAACTATGCAGGCGTAGTGATGTGACCAGCACCAAATAAAATCCAAGAAGCGCCCCTTCCACGTCATCTACTTTCTTCTGTAGAACCATCCAAGCGATGCCAGGAGAGTGTCATCTGTGGGGGGAAGTATCCCAAGAAACGAAGGGGAAGGGAAAAGGAAATCCTCCTGACTTCTACAATGTGAGGCTTCCTCTCCATGGCTTTGCGCTTCTTTACCTGTACTCATTCTCCAGGCGATCTTTCGTACAGCCTCAGGGTTTTACATACTAGCTGCATGCTGGCGGTTCCCAATACTGTATCTCTAGCACAGAAATATTCCCTGATGCCCAGACTCAAATATTCTACCACCTACATGGGAAGGAAGTTCATCTGGAGGTCTAACAAGGATCTCAGATTTAACATGTCCAAAACTAAGGTATCGTTCCAGCCAGGCAATTAGGCAACAAAAATGAAATAAAACAAAAGACATCCAAATCGGAAAAGAAATAAAGCTATTTCTATTCATAAATGAGATAATCTTATATGAGGAAAGCTCTAAAGAACCCAGAAAAACTGTGAGAACTCATAAATGAATCCAGCAAAGATGTACTATAAAAAAATCAGTGTGCAAAAATCAGTTGTATTTTTATATATGGATAATGAACACTAAGAAAAGGAAATTAAGAAACAATTTCATTGATAATAGCATCCAAAAGAATAAAATACTTGGGAATAAAGTTAATAAAAGAGACAAAAAAAATGTACAGTGAAAATTTAAAAAAACATTGATGAAAGAAATTTCAAAAGACCTAAATACACAGAAAGACATCCTGCGGTCCTGCACAGTAAGACTTAATATTATAAGATGACAAGACTATCTAAAGTAGACTTAACACTTTGTAAAAATGGAAAAACATCCCAAAGTTTATATGGCACTCCAAGAAAATCCAAATAGCCCAAACAATCTGGAAAAAGAAACACAAAAGCTAGAAGTCCAACACTTCACAATTTCAAAACTTACTACGAAACTACAGTAATCAAAACTGTATGGTATTGACATGAGAACATATGGATACAGAATTGACAGTCCAGAAATAACTTAAACATCTAAGGTCAAGTGATTTAAAAATTTTTTTTAAATGTTTGTTTATTTTTGGGGAGAGAGAGAGAGAGAGAGAGAGAGAGACAGACAGACAGACAAAATGCAAGCAGGGGTGGAGCAGAGAGAGAGAGAGAGAGAGAGAGAGAGAGGGAGGGAGACACAGACTTCAAAGCAGGCTCCAGGCTCTGAGCTGTCAGCACAGCGCCTGACACGGGGTCTGAACCCATGAACCATGAGATCATGACCAGAGCTGAAGTTGGATGCTCAACCAGGTGCCATTAAGGTCAAGTGATTTTTGACAAAGGTGGCAAGACCATTCATATGTAAAGAACAGTCTCTTCAACAAAGGGTGCTGAGAGAACTAGATGACCACATACAAAAGAATGATGTTGGACCTTCACCTTATTTTTTTAAAGAAATTTTTAATGTTTATTTATTTTTTAAGAGAGAGTGACACATAGCATGAGTGGGGGAGGGAGGAGAGAGAGAGGGAGACACAGAATCTGAAGCAGGCTCTAAGCTCTAAGCTGTCAGCACCCGATGCGGGGCTCGAATCCATACGCCATGATATCATGACCTGAGCTGAAGTCAGACGCTTAACCAACTGAGCCACCCAGGCGCCTCTGGACCTTTACCTTATACCACATACAAAAATTAACTCAAAATGGATCAAAAACCTAAATTTAAGAGCTAAAGCCATAAAAAAAAAAAAAAACTCTTAGAAGAAAACAAGGGAAATCTTCATGACACTGGATTTGGCAATAGTTCCTTAAATACGGCACCAAAATCACAGGCAAAATGAAAAAAATAAATTGGACTTCATCAAAATTTAAAACTTTTATGCATCAAAAGACACTATTAAGAGAATGAAAATATAACCCACAGGTAGGAGAAAAAAAATCTGCCAATCCTGTATCGGACAAGGGTTTAATATCCAGAATATATAAAGAACTCCTACAACTCAGCAAATAAAAGGACAAACAACTCATTTTAAAAATGGGCAAATAACGTGAATAGACATTTCTTCTAAAGAAAAAAAGCAAATGGACAATGAGCACATGGAAAGATGTTCCACATCACTAATTAGGGAAATCCAAAACAAAATGAGATACCCCTCAGTGAGATATCCCTTCCTGCCTAACTAGGTTGGCTACAATTAAAAAAAAAAAAAAAAACATGAAAAATAACTAAAGTTGACAAAAAGTGATGCCACTATTGTGGAAAACAGTTCGATGGTTCTCCAAAAAGTTAAACACAGAACTACCATACAATCAACAAACTTACTCCTAGGTATATACCAAAAAGAATTGAAAACATGGACTCAGATGCTTGTGTGAGAATTGTCATTATAACATTATACACAACAACCAAAAGGTGGGTATAGCCAATGTGCTCAACAATCGATGAATGGATAAAGTTAATTTGGTGTTACACACGGTGCAAATTATTATTCAGCCATAAAAAGTACTGAAGTTCTGATACATACTATATCATGACTCTTGAGAACATTACACTAATTGAAAAAAAGTCAGACATAAAAGACAAATATTGTATGATTCTACTTATATAAAATATCTAGAATAGGTAATTTAGTCGAGACACAAAGTAGAATAGAGGTTACCAGAGGCCGGGGGGTGGGAGGGAATGGGAAGTTATTGCTTCATGAGTTCAGAGTTTTATTCTGAAGTGAAGAAAATGTTTTGGAAATAGACAGTGATGTTGACTGCACAACACTGAACACAGTCACTGAACTGTACACTTAAACAGGTTAAAAAGGCAAATTTTATATTATATATTTTCTCTCACAATAGCAGAAAACAATTAAATTACTGATCTTCTCTCCCAAGCCCACTCCTTCTATAGCTTCATTGGTTTAATGCTATTTCTACTCCTGCTCAAGTTAAGAACATTTTTATCATCGCTCACTCATCATTATTTTCTCACACCCCACATCCAATCCATTGATTCATCCCACCAACTCAACCGTGCACATGTATCAGAACATGGATACATCTACGCCACTTGAAATATTCCATCATCTCACATGGATTACCGTGAAAGCTACTTAAATCATCTCCCGGCTAAAATCCCCCAGTAACTTGAACAGTGACTACTGGACAGTAAGCACTCAAAATAATACTAGTTTACTATTTATCATAAATAGATGAATATAAAATGGGAAGTAAGTACACACATACTTCATACACATGAATATATGAATATAATCTATTAATCTATTCTATTAATACCACTCAAAAAGGGAAAACCATGGACATGACCCCTATTAAGTCTGACTGAAGGAAAGTTGGACAGTTAAGTCAACCATAAGCCTGATAGTACCTTTCATCCTCAGCCAAGGGAGAAAAACAGTTGTATATAAAGAAACTCAAACCCCAGAATAAAAGTCTAAGTGCAGAGAAAAAAATACACAGAAGGAAAACAAAAACAAAAACAAAAACAAAAACAAAACAAACAAAAAAACCCCACAAAAAACTGACTTGTAGATATGTGATATGGAATCTAGAGGATGAAAGGTTCATTTACACAGTCCAGCCACAGAACCTACAAGAGACAAGCTCTCCCTCGTGTACAATGATCACAAGTGCCATGACAGCACATGTTCAGGTTGGTGTGACAAATGGTTCTGGCCTGAA